CTGTTCCCACTTCAGTGCCATGAAATAAAGGCTCAGTTTACTTTTTCAGCCAGGTCAGTTTTCCAGTCCAGTTCCCTTTGCAGCTACGTGCGCAGCTTAGCTGGTGAAAGGGAGCGGACAATGGATGTCTAACTCCAGCCTCAGCACACAGCGTAGCCACATCCTGCATGGCTGCCCCTGTTCCTGGCGTATTGGCTGGTTTAAAACAAAACAGATCCTATTAGAAAGCTTTCACAGAGAGCAACCGAGGCGTGAAACGGGAAGGCTGTGCGTGCTGTAGCTACAGAAAAGGGAGGGATAAAGGAATTTGGTTTTACTGTCTGTCGCGGGATGCTTGTTGTAGGCTGACCGCATAGTGTCCCGCAGTTAAGCCCGAGGCGGTGTCTCGAGGAGGTCTGTACCTCCTGAGTTACAGTGAAATGTAATCCTCTTGCCTTCTTTTTCAGCATCATTTGGGGCAAACAGCCACAACGCTACGGTCTTCGGTTCCAAGAAACAGGTAACGTAGAGCCCTTAAGTGCTTTCAGTAAGGCCTGAAATCAGGACACGTCCGTATAGTCGAGCAAGCTATCGAACAATTTTGAAATGCGTTGGGGAGGATGCTCTGCAGCTGGGACCACGTCCTCAGCAGCCCGCAGTTCACTGCGGAAGGGCGAGCTGCTGCTGTGCTTTAAATGAAGCACCTGAGGCTGCGTTGGAAAGTGATGCTTCCTCAGGCTGCTGCTTCCGATATCCGGGTTGGATCCGAGTTGTGCAGGTCTTTGCATTCACCGAGCTGGCTGCAGTTTCTCTGTTAAAACAGCCCAGTTTGGTAGCTGGCTAAAGCTGTGTGCCTCCCACCCGCCAGGCACTGGGCATGTGCGTGACGTCCCTTTTCCTTGGTGCGCGGGGTTCAGAATGAGGTTTGTCGAGTTCCCCACGTGTTGGAGAGGTTCAGCATCTTGTTCGGGTGAGGAACGCGCGTACGGCAGCTGTTACCTGGGAAGAGGTCCCAAGTTTGGTGCTGCTAGGAACAATCTCACCCTTGCTTGTAGGAAGACAGCTGCTGGCTCTTGTGCTGCTGGACACCACGTAGCACTTTGTCCCTGCCAGCTGCTTTCTTCAGTTATTTTGCGTTTTGCCTCCAGTACAAAAATTCTGTGGACCTGCAGACCTGAACTTGCAGATTACCTTTTTTTTTTTAAACACTCTACTTGGGTGCTGTCAGGCAGGGCGTAGGCAGCGAGTGCGTTGTATCTCTGATGCTTGCTGTTGCGTCAGAAAGTACCTCCTCTTTTGTGTGATCAGCATTGTGCTTTGGGAAGCAGAACTACTGCTGGGCTTGTGCTGGAGCTGAGCGCTTCTCTGATCTGTAACAGCTCTGAGAACACATTTACAGTGAAGTGATTGTGGAGTCCTGTGTGTGTTACGGACAGGACAGCTCTGCCTTTCCTCCATGTTGCTAGCACAGATGGTAAAGGGAAGCTCACATGCTAGGAAGGAGTTAACAGCGCAGTTCTCGGCCAAACGCAGCTCCTCTGAAACTGCACTCTGTACTCACAGAACGCTGCTTACCTGCTCTTTTGCAGAAATGGACAATACAAGAGAGCGAGTGGATCAAAGAGGGCGTGAAGAAGTTTGGAGAAGGGAGGTGGAAGGCCATTTGCCAGAAATACCCCTTCCAGAACCGCACAGCAGTGATGATCAAGGATCGCTGGCGGACCATGAAAAAGCTGGGAATCCTCTAGAGCTGGGAGCCACAGGACCTTCAGTGCAAAAACCTTTTTACTTTTCTTTTGAAAGACAGACCGGAGCAATAGTAGCGGAGAGGCTGCTGTGCTTGTCCCTGATGTGTGTTGGGGCCGGCGTGGTGAGCCCCTCTGGCTCCTGGTACCCGAGACTGCTGCAGCAGATGGAAACCGCGCCTGACGAGAACCGGGGAGCCTTCTGTCTCAAGTTGTAGCTGCAAGGTTTAGATCTTCTGCAGCTAGCAGAAGCTGCGCAGCCTGATCGCACACGCTTGGAAATGGCCTGGATTGGGACTTCCTTTTCCACCTGACAACTGCAGCCTTTGTAGAATGAATCCCAACCTGATGGGCTGCTGAGATGAGAGTTTTCTTTGCTCAGATGCTGTCAAATGGCAGGATAATCCCGACGGTGGCTATTTTTATGTGTTTTAATTGTCTAAACTGTGAATTGCTTGTTTCATCTGTTTGCACTCAGTTCCCCGGGGGACAGAGGCAGCGCATGGTCCCAGAGCTTCTGGGGAGAAGAGATTTAGGCAAGATGATCTGCTTAGATTTTTTTTTTTTTCTTCACGTTTCTTTCTGCTTTGTGAATGGCAAGTGGGAATTTCTCCCTCCCAGCTTTGAGGCTTTAAAAACATGATGTTTTTTTGTTTCAGTACTTAAATGTTGGTTGTTCCCACGTTAAAAGTTCCAGTGCTTAATAATTTCGGTCAGGTCTTGGCATTTCTCCTTCCTGGCAACGTCCTCCACCTGCGTGCAATCCCTGCAAGCGTGTGAGCTCTGAGGGTGCTGCGTGTTTCCTGCCTTCAAGTGCCAAAGCTGGAGTCCATGTCCAAGCTGTCTTCTGTAAAATAAAGTTACTTTCTTGTTGGATAGCGAGAGTTGTAGTAAGTGTGAACTTGTCCCTCATGGGTGGAAACGTGGCAGTTCGGGGTGCTGCCTGCTCGCACCACCCCAGCAACGTGGGGCTCCCCGTCCGCCTCCTGAGCCAACTGAAGGTGGTGTTGGCAGCTTTTTGGGGTGGAACAGCGATGCCCTCAAGCTATGAGGTGCTGCTGCATCGGCGTAGGCATGAAGCAGAAGCTTCGGGACCAGATTTCTGTTAAAGTCAGGGGAGGCATGGGGGTGTTTTCTAAAGGCAGCCTCTCTTGGCTGCATTCCTTCAGAGCTAGGGCTGGGGAGAAGCCTGTCTGGGAACAGCTGCTTTCCCCTCTGTCCTTCAGCAGCAGTTGCTGGAACGAGCTTCCCATGTCACCTGGCTGGGGCTGCGCATTTCCCTCCCCTTCTGCTTGCAAAGCCGTTTCCCTGGGGTGGGAGCAGCCCTGAGCAGGCAGGAGCACCCTGCTGTGCTTGCAGAGGGCTGTTCGGGGGTGAAGCGTGATGTGAGCTGCAAGCTGGACCAGTGATTGCCAGTGTGGGAAGGAGGTGGGAAGCTTAATTTGCTTGTTTGGTCTCTTCTCCCAGGTAACCAGCAATAGTACGAGAGGAAATAGCCTCAAGTTGCATCAGGGGAGGTTCATATTGAATATTGGGGAAAATTCCTTTACTGAAAGAGTGGTCAGGCATTGGAACAGGCTGCCCAGGGCAGTGGTGGAGTCCCCGTCCCTGGAGGGGTTCAAAACACGTGTAGATGGGGCACTTCAGAACGTGGTGGTGATGGGTTGATGGTTGGATTTGATGATCTGAGAGGTCTTTTCCAACCTTAACAATTCTGTGAAGCGTTGGCCAGCGAGGGGAGCGGGGCCGGCTGCGGACCGGCTCTGTGCAATCGGCGCTGGTGACCGCGGTGCTCTGCAGAGCGGCTCAGCTGGGTGAGCTCTAGCGTGGATGAGCGGGACCAGCTCCTGCTCTGCACCGAGATCGCCTTGAGGAGCAGAGCCTGTGCCATGCTCCTCCCGACGCCAGCCCCGGCGCTGCCAAGTGCCACTGCGGAGCAGTTAATGATTACCGCTGTGCCACCTCGGGTCCCCGCTCCTGACCGCTACGACTTCGCCATCGTCGTCCCTGCCGGTACCGTGGAGTGCTTCTGGCAGTTCGCACACCAGGGTGGCAACTTCTTCTTCAGCTACGATGTGAGTGTTGCGCGACGCCTCCCGCGACGCTGTCGGCGCGGTGCAGCTGCGGGACGGCTGCAGGGGATCAGTACTGTGCGGCGGCTCTGCGGCCGGTGCCAGCTGCCTTCTCCGAGGGTGCAGTGGGCAATCCTCTGTCGCCGTAGTCCTGTGACCAGGCTTAAGTGCAGGAGGCCCCACGGGATGAAGACCACGCGCTGACCCCAGGGCAGAGGGGGTTTGCTTTGTGTGGGAGAGGTCCTCGCTCGAGATAGGGAATAGCTGAAGTCACTTGGATGCTTCATCTCGACGACTGTGCTTTTTTTAGGCAATTTCCATCATCAATCCCTTTTTTTTTTCTTAAAAAAATACCTGTTTTAAAACCATAAAGCTGTGCTGAGAGCTCCAGACACAGTGCCCGAGCACTCAGAGCTTGGCTTCCCGGCCCCGCAGGGAGCTCTGCCCTTCGCTGAGCTGGCTGGAGGCTGTTCCACAGCCCTCGGCTCTCCTCTGAGCCACAGCTG